ACAGTTTATTCGGAAAGTTACGTCTGAGAGACGATCCACTATGTCATATGGGCCTTCCCATGGAGAAGACAACTTAGGAGACTTCCCTTTGGTCTTCCTGGGATTATACAACCACACCTTGTCTCCTGGTTCAAGGCTGACTTCAGTAGATCTCTTATCATAAGATAGCTTCATGGAATCAGCAGACGTTTCAAGTTTGAATGCACTTGATGGTGAATATCATCCATCCTTTTAGATAACACTTTCACGAACTCTGACACATTTTCAGGCAACTCTTCGTAAGGTGGGTTTCCTGTTATCAGATCCACTGGCAACCGAAGTTCCCGAACAAACATCAGCTTTGCTGGAGTGTATCCCGTGGCGTCATGCTCTGCTGTTCTATAGGCCATCAACAGTGGAGGGACTAAGACATCCCAGTCATCTTGGTGGCTTTACAAAACTTTGCCAGTTCCCGTCCAAGTGTACTTTTCTACCATTCCATCAGGCTGTGGGTGAAGAGGCGTTGTTCTGGTCTTTCGTATGCCAAACAACTTGCAGCATTCATGGAACACAGCTGATTTAAAGTTATAGCCTTGGTTTGAATGCTGTTTGTATGGCATACCAAATCTGAAGAAGAAATCACTAATAGCCAAAGCTACAGTTGTAGCTTCATGATTTAGTATTGCATATGCCTCAGGTCACTTGGTGAAATAATCCATCACCACACAAATGCACCTGTTTCTAGCACGAGTTTGGGGCAAAGGCCCAGCAATGTCAATGATTACTCTTTCCATTGGAGGCCCGGCATGGCCAGGTGGTTAAGGCACTCGACTCACAATCTGAGGGTCGCGGGTTCGAATCCCTGTCACACCAAACATGCTCGCCCTTTCAGCCATGGGGCGTTATAATGTGACGGTCAATCCCACTATTCGTTGGTAAAAGAGTAGCCCAAGAGTTGGCGGTGGGTGGTGATGACTAGCTGCCTTCCCTCTAGTCTTACGCTGCTAAATTAGGGACGGCTAGCGCAGATAGCCCCAGTGTAGCTTTGCGCGAAATTCAAAAACAAACAAACAAACTTTCCATTGGTGCACCAACTTGATATAACTTCATTGGAGCATGTCCCTTATGCTTAGGTCCCCTTTTAGAACAACATGTACTGCAGGTCCTGCACCATTCTTACACATCTTGCCTCATATCTATCCAGTAAAATCTCTGTCGTAGGTGACTCAATGTCTTCTTAACTCTGAAATGTCCTCCTGTTA